ATGCTCTTTTTTTAACAAAATCAAGCCGATTTTTGCTCTTGGGGGGGCACCCCCCAGGAGCCCTCCGCAAGCCTCCTAAAGGCTATTCATGCCCTTTTCTTAAAAAAAAATGGGCCTGTTTTCGCAAAAAACGGGCCATTTTTGGGAGGTCTGCAGAGTGCAAAAACTTTTAAAAAAAAATTTGCCTCTTCAAAATCTTGGTGCATCTTATACTCCGGTGTGTCTTATACTCCAAAAAATACGGTAAGTGAATACCACCTCTGGTCAACACCAGTCCATGGCATGGCAGAAATTGAGCCACGCACACAAACGAAGCCCCCATCTGCGGGATACAGACAGCATGCAAAACCACACCCTTTCCAGTCCGGGGTAAAACCTCTCTCCACAGAACCGGTCCCTGGTACTCAAAAGATTGGAGGCAGTTCCATTAAATGCATCCTCCCATTATTCCTCTGGGGGAGCTATAAATACCCTTTGACCTCCTCTGAGTGATTATTAAATTTAAGACACCCTTCCATGCATAACCCAGTGAAGCATCCCGATTGCCCCTGAGTGGGAGGGCCGGATTCCCTCGCCAGCCGTGGACTCACCACCATCTCAAAGTCTCCGTGGTCCACTTCGTTTTGTTCCTGGCTCTCCTGCCGAATGTCCTCCCCGCTGGGCAGGCCGGAGGTCTGCATCTTGTCATCGGCATCGTCGTCGTCATAATCATCTTTGTCTCCTGGATGTTAAAAAAAAAGAAGAAGAAGAAGGAGAGAGAAAAGTCCTGTGAAACCCAGCCAGATGCACGAGAGAGCATGAGACGGTGGGGAGAAACAGGACGGAGAGAGAAGGGGAGAATGGGAGGAAGACATGAGAGAGAGATGGAGGGAGGGAGAGATGAGAGAGAGGGAGGAGGGAGAAAGAGATGAGAAAGAGAGGGAGAGAGAAGAGGGAGGGAGAGGTGATGAAGAGAGGGAGGGAGAGGGAGAGATGAGAAAGGGAGGGAGGGAGAGATGAGAAAGATAGAAGGGGAGGGAGGGAGAGATGAGAAAGAGAGGGATAGAGAAGAGCGAGGGAGGGAGAGATGAGGAAGAGAGGGAGAGAGGTGGAAGGAAGTGAGAGACAGAGAGTGAGAGAAGGAGAGAGAAACGTGGACAGGGCAAGACAATTTCTGCAGTCCCAGCCAGGGGGATGTGACCCTCTCATGAATGGAGAGATGCTCCTGGGGTCTCCTCAAAGGCAAGCCAGGGGCTTCTCTAGGAGAAGAGACACCCTCCCTGGCGGGACTTCCCGTGAGGTTTCCCTTGTCCATGCCCCAGGCTCCAAAGCAGCGTTCCCCCCCTTACCCATGGGGGTGTTGCTTCGAGGGGATGAAGGCAAGGTTACGTGTCTCCTCTTGTTCCTGGGCCTCAGCACTCGGATCAGCGCTTGCTTGCAAGAGAAGCTCACAGCCGGATCCTGGAAGGTAAAGCGGCAAATCAAAAAGTGTATTTGAGGGAGAAGGGGTGGCAACAGCCTGGTGGGGGGCAGTTAACGAACTCTCAAGGGACTCAAGCTTCAGGTCCTCTGCCCGAAAAGCTCAGAGCTGCAGCCCTCCAGAGGAATCTTCTAGCCACATTCGAACATGCTGTTCAGACCTAGCTGAACTTGGGTTTGTTCATGGATGCAGCCTAAGAAGATAGATCAGTGTTGGCGCAGGTGCACAATCGCCGGGGACGCAACCCGGAAGAGGAGCTGGCCAAGGGGCATGCGCGCACTGGGAAACGAACTTCCGGTTTCCAGCGGGTGCACTTCCGGTTTTTGGCACGCACACTTCCGGCTTTCGTCGCACATGTGAAACGCAATGATCAGCTGGCACAGGCCAGAAAATGGAAGCCCAGCTCATCGGTTTCTGGCACTGCCACATGCACAAGCTGGTCATCATGTGCATGTGCATATGCGCGCCAGAAGCCCGGAAGAGGAAGAGACGAAGCCTTGCACGCCAGGCGACATGGCTCCGTGTGCCACTTCAGGGACATGTGCGATAGGTTTGCCATCACGGAGCTTGACTTTTCCCTGCCTGAATAACAGGGCAAATGAAAAGGAATGAGCCTCGGTTCCATCCGGCTCTGATTGGCACTTTCTGGTTGGGGATTATGGGAGCTGACACCCAGCAGGAATCCGAGCCAGGCAGCCAGAGGAGAGTTGGACTAGTAGAAGCTGCCAAGTTCTCAGAGCCTTTTTCCTACCCTCTTTTGGGCACTGCAGGAGGAGGAGGAGCAGAGAGCCCCCTCCTACCCTCTCCTCCTCACCAGGATGCCAATTCCCACCAGGGTTGGATGCTCCCTGCCACAGAGCCAACCAGCAGCCGAGGGTGCCAGAGACAAGCCAGGCCTCTCCTGCTGTTCCCTCTGGGGTCCTTGGTCGGCCTCCTCTGCTGAGTGGGGAGTGGGGGGAGGGTAGCACTCTGCCCTTCTACAAAGACATGCCCAGGTCGCTTGAGAATGGACCCAAGATGCAGCCCTGAAACAACGTACCGGGCACAGCAACATCTGCATGTAGATTTTGGAGGCGACGTTGATGCAGTCCAGCTCGCAGATGCAATATCCATGGAGGATGTCTATGAGGGCGTTGACAGTGGCCTCGACGTGGGTCAGCCCTGCAGAGAGGAAGTGGGAGGAGAGCTCAGGGAAAGTGGGACTCCTGTGCACAATGGCCAGGTGCCCTTTCTGCTCCAGGGGAGGGAGGGAGGGAGGGAGGGAGGAGGGGCAAGGGAAGGAGGGAGGGTGGGAAGAAGGAAGGAGGGAGAGAAAGGAAGAAAGAGAGAAAAGAAGAAAAGAGAGAAAAAAGAAAGAGAAAGGAAGGAGGGAGAGAAACAAACAGGGAAAGAGAGAACGAGAGAGAAAGGAAGAAAAGAAAAAGAAAGAAAAGAAAGGAAGGAAGAGGGAGGAAGGAAAAGCAGGTTGGAAGAGAAAGAGGGAGGGAGAAAAAGAAAGAGGGAGAGAAAGAAAGAAAGGAAGAAAGGAAGAAAAGAGAGAAAAAAGAAAGAGAAAGGAAGGAGGGAGAGAAAGAAACAAACAGGGAAAGAGAGAACAAGAGAGAAAGGAAGAAAGAAAAGAAAAAGAAAGAAAAGAAAGGAAGGAAGGAAGGAAGAGGGAGGAAGGAAAAGCAGGTTGGAAGAGAAAGAGGGTGGGAGAAAAAGAAAGAGGGAGAGAAAGGAAGAATGAGAGAAAGGAAAAAAAGAGAGAAAAAAGAAAGAAAGGAAGGAGGGAGAGAAAGAAACAAACAGGGAAAAAGAGAATGAGAGAGAAAGGAAGAAAAGAAAAAGAAAGATAAGAAAGGAAGGAAGGAAGAGGGAGGAAAGAAAAGCAGGTTGGAAGAGAAAGAGGGAGGGAGAAAAAGAAAGAGGGAGAGAAAGAAAGAAAGGAAAGAAGGAAAGAAAAAGAAAAAGAGGGAGGGAGGAAAAGGAAGATGGAAAAGAGAGAAAGAAAGAGGGAGGGAGAGAAAGAAAAAGGAGGAAAAGAAAAGGGAAGAGAAGGGAAGGGAGGGAGTGGATTGTTGAGAGGAACTTGGAGGACATAATCCATTACAGGGTCCAGAGACAGAAACCAGCCTGAACAGTTCAGCTACACAAATATTGTGTGTGTGAATTCTGCCAAGATGCCGTGTGTGCTTGGCCTGGAACTCTCTGCAGGGCTGCTGTCGCCCTGGCAGCTGTGTCCGATCCCCGCTCGAGAAAGACAGTACCCACCTGGCAGGCAAGCAGGCGCCAGGAAGGCATTCTTGGGTTTCGAGGCATGGAGTTTCCAGAAATGGTTGACCAGCTGGGTAATAAAGCTGCACCCTTCTCCTTCTGGGGCCTTTGCAGCCTCCTGCCCTTCTTCAATGCTTTCTGAAAGTTTAAGAAAAGGCTTTTGGGCTGAGCAGATGGAATCCCACCCCCCCAAACCACACCCCATTTCCCCCCCCCAAAAAAAAACAGAAGTGAGGGGGGAGTGTTGTGGCCCAGCAGGATCCGGTTGAGCTGCTGATGGACTCGGATAGCGAGGACCATATGAGTCTGCCATGGAAGATGTGGAGGACCCTGCGAGCAGGGACCAGAGAGGCAGGTTGGCCACCAGGAGGCGCCTGAGGCATGGAGCAGTGGGGAGGATCAAAGGCA